AGAGAGAGAGATTAGCCTCTTTGGCAACATCACCAAAATATAATAACGTCCCAAAATCACAAATATCAGGGAAAAGCACAAGTTGGATTTACTTCAAGTGAAATAAAAATCAGGTTTTGTATGTATAAAGCTGTACACATTGTAAGTTTATGTTCATATGTAGATACTGTTCTCTACATCAAAACAGAGGGGGGCTTCTTTTAACGTTAACTCACGGAGCTCTTTGATTTATGAAATGTTCATTTACCACAGGTGAAAGGTAGTCGTCCTGGTCTTCACTCAGGTCAGTGACCGGAAGGCCACGAAACGGTTGCCACGACTCTGAGGCGGTGTGGTAGTTGGGTAGGGTGACGGGAGGTGAGGTAATCCTGTACCTACAATAAATGTTCACGCTTAACATGAACCCAGTACCTAAAACCATAAATGAACAGTCCATAACAACAAAATAGGTAACTGAGGTTAGAGAATTAGCCACATAGCTATAAACAATAAATACAGACTGAGACAAGTATGTCTACATCATAGTAGGAGAGCGGAGCAGATCGGAATCAGCATGATTAATCTTGATTATGAAATTCATGTTTTCTGGCATCTAGAATATGCAGGGATAACGTCTTTCATTCTGCAGGGAAAGATCTGAAAAATCTCAATTCCAAATAGAAAGTATTATATGCAAAGGCTTCAAAGCAATGTACGTCGTGGGGGAACAGTTAGTTAGGAGAAGCCAAGTTAATGTTACCTCATTTCTTTTTTGGCCGAATGTCTGGACCTCTTGGCCATACAGACAGCCACCAGCAGGGCGACCACCAGCAACGCACACAAACAGCCTGCTGCAATACCGATCACGTCCGCTTGGGTCAAACGGATCTGACATCGCTCCCCTCCGTACCAGGAACCCTCTACTGCCGGGCAGCTGTACATTGTAGCAAGCGGCAATTGATCATTAAAAGATGCACTATCCATTCATTACAGCAAAGCACAACACAACACAAATCTGGCACTTACAGCATTTCTAACGGTCCGGCCTGAAAATAATTAGTCTTGAACTTTCCGTTCCCTACAGCAAAACACAACAAAACATTACGACTTTTGACTAACCTATGACTTTCTGGTATCAGTTCAAAATTCACAAATTTTCAGGCATCTGTTGTGTTGGACGTAAAAGTCAACTCGACTATTATATTTTATCCGGGGGACGGTAGTTCTGACACTTACGTGCATTTCGGTCCCTCTTGAACGTTGTACTCACAGGTCCCCGTGTTGCAGTAGTTTTCCTGACATTGGCACTCCGCTATGACAGCTCCGGGGTACGGCTCATTCCGTGAACACACGCCCCCCTCCCCACACTGCACATCCTGGCAGAATCCTCCAACCACTTGCTCCAACTCTACACCAGATTGTAATTGAATAAGAAATCGGAGATTTCAGACACCATGAAAGCATGCAATCCTCGTTTTTCTGACTTCCCCTATCCCCCCCCCATTTTTACGGGCTCATTGCCAATTTCTGAGAACCTTTGACCTTCTGTCAATCTTTCCTACCCATGTGCTGTCAACATACCGTAAGAGATTTTCTTTTAGAAATGTCATGGGGA